GTTACAATAGAAAAGACAGACAATGACAAATGTTGCCAAGGATGTGACAAAATTGTAACTCTCAAAATGGCTGCTGGGGGATGTAAAATGGTGTAGCCACACAAGTAAACAGTTTGTCAGCTTCTTAAAATGTTAAACATAGATTTACCATATGACCAGTAATTCCACTCCTAGGTATCTACTCAAGAGGAATGAAAACATGTCCACACAAAAACTAGTGTGCAAAAGTTCACAGTAGCATTTTTCTTAACAGTCTAAAGGTAGAAACAAATCAAATGTCTATCAACTGGTGAACTGATAAACAAAACATAGTATATCCTGACACTGGAATTCTTTTCTTTCTTTGGAAACAAGAGTCTCACTCTGTCACACAGGCTGGAAAGCAGTGGCATGGTCTGGGCTCTCTGCAACCTCTGCCTCCCGGGTTAGGTGTTTCTCATGCCTCAGCCCTCCAAGTAGCTAGAATTACAGGTGTGGGCCACCACTCCCAGCTAATTTTTGTTTTTTTGTTTTTTTGTTTTTTTTTTCCTTTGAGACGGAGTTTCACTCTTTTTACCCAGGCTGGAGTGCAATGGCGCGATCTCGGCTCACCGCAACCTCCGCCTCCCGGGTTCAGGCAATTCTCCTGCCTCAGCCTCCTGAGTAGCTGGGATTACAGGCACGCGCCACCGTGCCCAGCTAATTTTTTTGTATTTTTAGTAGAGACGGGGTTTCACCATGTTGACCAGGATGGTCTCGATCTCTTGACCTCGTGATCCGCCCGCCTCGGCCTCCCAAAGTGCTGGGATTACAGGCGTGAGCCACCCACCGGCCTGACACTGGAATTCTATCTACTGTGTAATAAAAGGTAACCAAGTATCGATACATGCTACAACATAGATGAACCTCAAAAACGTTATCCTGAGTGAAAGAAGCCAAACGTAAAAGACCACAGATTGTATGAGTCCATCTATACAAAAATGTTCACAAAAGGTAAATCTACAGAAAAGAGCAGATTCGTGGTTCCCTAGGGATGAAGTAGAATTGAGAAATAACTACAAATGATACAAAGTTTTTTCTGGAATGGAAATGTTCTAAAATAAGACTGTGGTGATAGTTACACAACTCTGCAAATATGCTACCAACCATAGAGTTGTACACTTAAAACAGGTGAATTTTATGGTATGTAAATTAAACTTCAATAAAGATTCACAAAAAGAAACATATACAACCTCATTAGTCATCACTGAAATGCAAATTAAATCACAATCAAACATCACTGCACATCTACTAGAATGGCTAAAATTTAAAAGACTTGACAATATCAAGTGTTGCAATGATATGAAACAAGCAGAACTCTCATTTTACATTCCCACCAACAGTTGGTAGGAACATAAAAGGGTGCAGTGCATTTGAATATTGTCCCCCAAAAACTTATGTCCAAATCCAAAAACCTGGCCCGTATGAATGTTACCTTATTTGGAAAAAGTGTCATTGCGAATGTAATTAAGTTGAGGCTCTCAAGGATCTCGAGATCATCCCAGATTTAGGATAGGTCCTAATCCAATGACTGACATTCTTTGAAGAGAAAGAAGAGAGAGATTTGAGCCACAGAAACAGAGAGAAGGCGGCCATGAGAAGATGGAAGCAGAGAATTTATGAAGCGATGCTACCACAAGCCAAGGAACACTAGGGACCACCAGAAGCTGGAAGAAGCAAGGAAGGAGCTTTCCCTAAAGTCCTTCAAAGGGAGTGTGACCCTGTTGACACCTTGATTTCAATGCCTGATCTCCAGACTGTAAGAGAACAAATTTCTGTTGTTTAAAGCCACCAAGTTTGTGGTAACTTGTTGCAGCAGCCATAGGAAACTAAAACAAATGGTCAAATCACTTTGGAAAACTGTTTGGCAATTTATTCATAAGGTTAAACAAAGAACTCCCCTATAACTAAGCAATTCCATTTTGGGGCATTACCCGACAGAAATTTGGGGCATTACCCGACCTAGGAAAGACTCATACATCAATGGTCATAGCAGCTTTTTTCATGAGTCCAAAACCAGAAACAACCCAAATGTCTAGCAACAAGTGCATGAATAAACAACATATGGTATATCCATACAGTGGACCACTAATCCGCAACAAAAAGGAACAAACTATTGATACATACAACAACATGGATTAATCTCAAAAATCATTATGCTGGCCAGGCACAGTGGCTCACGCCTATAATCGCCAGCACATTGGGTAGCAGAGGCGGGAGGACACTTTGAGCCCAGGAATTCCAGACCATGTTCCAGGCAACATAGCAAGACATCATCTCTATTTAAAAGAAAAATCATTACGAGGCATGAAAAAAAGACCCAGAAGTAGATACCGTATGCTTCCATTTATACGCAATCTAGAAAATACAGATGCGTCTACAGACACAAAAAACATATCAGTGGTGGCTTGGGGGCCAAGGTGGAGGGAAAGACTAACCGCAAATTAACAAGAGGGAACAGAAATGTTCGCTATGCCAATTGTGGTGGTTTTTGCAGGTACATAAATTTGTCAAAAGGCATCAAATTGTACACTAAAAATGGTTGCAAATGACTGTATGTAAATTATACCTCAATGAGCTTGATTACAAAAAGAGAAAGTAATTCATGAGTCATTAGACATTTTACATTTAAAACAACTACTTATACTTTGTTCTACCCAATAATATTAAGTAAACAAATTTTAAATGAAAAGCAAATTTTTTAAAGAAAAAAGGAAGACAACTTGCTCTACCAATTCAACATGTTTCACAAGCAGAAAATGGAAAAAGCCTTGAATTTGGAGTTAGAAGACCTGGCTCAGAGCGCTAGTTCCGCCTAGTAACCAAGTAGCCTTGGGAAAGTCACAATTTCTACAAGTCTCAGTTTCCACATCTCTAAAATATGGATGACACTAATAACTACCTCACAGGCAATGGTTATGGTTTCAATCAAGGAAGAGCTCCTTTGGCACGGGGATTCTATTTTAGCCAAAATTATAAGTTCAACACATGGCAAATAATAGGTGCTCAATAAATCTTCACAGAATAAATGAATTACTTTAAAAATAAACCTGAAAGATGAGAAAGACATCATTCACAACACCGTGAGGTGACATTTGTTTCTATGCACTGTGTAAACTAAAGCAGAACTCTTTGGGCTTATCTTTAGCATATTATCCACATCATATCCAGACTCAAGCATGAGTTCAGGTACCTTATGAAATACTGCACTAACTCAGGTCAATAGAGAGAAGATTTTATATTTTAAATCCTTAGGTGCATTGCCCTAAAACAGACTCACTTGTAAGATGAAATTCTATTAAATCAAGACAATTCTATGTCTACGTTATTTAACATTGATATTCATCGCCAATATTTGCTTAACATAGAGTAGGCACCAAATAACATGTGCAAAGGCCCTGTAGCCAGATGAAGTACAGGGAAGAGTAACTTTTAAGTAGGCCGAAGTGACTGGCAGGCAGACAGTAGAGTGTCAAGTCCAATGGGGTTGTGAAAGCAGGTAGGGCCCAGACCATGCAGGATCTTGTAGGCAATGTGAAGTTTTTTCTTTAACCTAAGAGCAACAGAAAGCCATGGAATATTTTTAAACAGGTGGTTGGCAGAGTAAGGACACAGGAAAGGGACATAATTAGATTTTCATTTCAGGAAGATCTTACTCTAGGGTGTGCAGAAGAGAATGGTTGTTGGGGGAGGGAAGAGAAAGTGGAAGAAGAGTTAAGTTAGGGTGTCGAGTGAGTACAGGCCAATCAAGAGACTATTCCAACAGTTCATTAAAAAGATAATAGTAGCTTGATGGAAAAAAATGGACAGATTCCCAATATACATAGATAAATCAACAGGATCTGACTTTGGAAATGAGAGAAAGGAAAACACTCAATTCTTCTGGGCCTCAGTTCTTCACCTGCGAAGCAGGGTGTTGTTTATACTCCATCCGTATATCTACTTTGCTATGACAATGATATGAAATAATTTCAATATTGTGTACCTAACACAGTGCCTGACCCACAATAAATGCTTTTTAAAATCGCTACTGCCATTACCATGGTCATCCCATGGAACGGCAACTACCGGAAACGGACACTAAAGATGGAGAAAAGCAATGTAGTTAAAGATTCATATACACAGCGCTGAAAGGACACAAACTCTATCAGCCGGTGACTGAAACAACTGTTCAAAGAAACACAGCTGGCTGCCGATTTCCACTAAGCCGATCTCAGTCACGATTCAGTCCTCAGAGACCATTATGAGAAAGCACAGCTGGTATGATCACAGTCATCTGAGAGTCCGGTAAACTGAGGCACAGGGATGGCTACAAATTTAACCCAGGAATACGTGCAGAAGAACGACAAGAAAATGGGTGTCTTGCTTCTCATTTTTGAGCCGATCCAACAGGATTCGGCCTGCATCCTGAACAGCACGAATTTGTAACACCCCCTCCAATGTCTCCAGGTCCCTTGCTGACAAGGCCCTGTCACCCCTTAGCTTAACACCGTACATCCGCTCGCCATCAAACCAAGCCCTTCAGGTTCCCTGTTCCTAGCTCCCAGCGCACGAAGAAGCCCAGGCCCCAGGAGCCCAGCATACCTTAGCTTCGCGCTCTCGTTCCTCGGCGGTCTGGGTGCGCTTCATGCTGCCACTAAAGCCGCCTTCGCCAAGCGAGCAACGTAGATCCCTCGCCCTGGACCCCGCCTCCTGCATGTAGTTCTCTCAGCGTCCTGCTCCCGCCTGGAGCCATTCTCCCTCAGAGCTGAGAAAACTACAACTCCCAGGATGGACGGCGGCGACGCCCGCGAGCGCCTCGGGTTTGGGAGCAGGAGAATTTCCCAGGGCCGACAGCTGGGAGAGAGTAGTCCGCTACCCTGCGAGCAGACGGGCTGGAGTCCAAAGAGAACTACATTTCCCAGGAGGCAACGGGGGCCTACCATGTTTTTCCCGTGCTCCTCTCGGCCAGCCGCCCGCCACGCTGTCGGCGCTATAGCAACGGTAGGTAGCTGCAAGGACCAGTGGCGCGGTGAGTACTCGGGGAGGATGAGGGAGGATGGTGATGGGTGGAGGTTGCGGACCCTCCCTATGCAGCGCGGGTCAGGGTCCTAGGGTCCGCTCTGAGGCCTAGAGAAGGCCCTGGAGTTCTGCTCTCGTGAAAGCAGCCCAGCCCGAGACACCTCCACATTCTCAGGCCTGAATCACAGCCCGCCCCTTTATCCCAAGGTTCGGGATCAACTTGAAATGTTATATCCCAGCCATGAAAGTGAGAGTTGATGCTGCTAATTGCCGTCTCTATCCATATTCTGCAAGTAGAAGATCCCTAACACAGTTTGCTCATTTGCCCTGGATTAGGAGTTGGTTGGTGGACCCTAAACCTCCTGAGTGGCCTGTTGTTTGCTTAATTGTATATTAGTTGTTTATCATTTGATTACTTCCATAATTTGCTGGTTTTATAGAGGGGGGGACTTTGTTTGCCATTTTAATCTCAGTGCCTGGTATCCATGTATTCATTCAATAATTTTTTTTCTTTTTCTTTTTTGGCCTTGCAAAATACTGGGATTACAGGTGTGAGCCACCACGCCCAACCAATCATTCAATATATATCAATGTTAGTTACCACCATGTACCAGACACTGTTCCTGAACAGCTGTGAACAAGACTAATACCCGTGTCGAGGTGTTTATACTTTTTTAGTGGAGACAAACAATAATGTTATCTTATAATTTCACATAGAGGCAGTTGATACAAGAGAAACAAGCCAGGCCTGGTGGCATGAACCTGTAGTTCCAGCCACTTGGGAGGCTGAGGTGGGAGGATCACTTGAACCCGTGAATTCGAGGCCAGCCCAGGCAACAGAGCAACACCCTGCCAAAGAAAGAAAGAGAGAGAGAGAAAAGAAAAGAAAAGAAATAAACAGTGAAGAAATCTAAGGAAGACGACTCTAACATAGGATGATCAGGGAAAGTCTGTCTGAGGAAGTGAGCTGAGCTCCAAAGATTGAGGAGCCAGTTAATACAAAGGCCTTGAGCAAGACAAGGGTATAGGGGGTTAAGGAAAGTGAAAGAACAGTGTAGGTGGAACATAGTGAGCAAAGAGGGATAACATGAGATGGTGCTGGAGAGGCATTGCAGTATTGTGCAGGGTTACTCAGTTTCCACATTATTATTAACACTTTGGGCTGGATTTGTTATTCTCCTAAACACTGTTAGATATTTTACGTCATCCCTGGCCTCTACTCACTAGATGCCAGTAGCATCCCCCTTCCTTGTTGTGACAACCAAAAATATCACCAGACACAACTGTTAATACTTCTAACTGCTACCTTAAGTGAGTTAACTAATCTGTGTCTCAGCTTCCTCATTTGTAAAGCAGGAATTGTTTGAGTAACAACCTCACAAGGAAATGGTGAGACACTTCATTAATTCGCATAAGCAGAGCACTTAGAACACTACCTGGCACACAATAAGTATTTAGTGAATGTTAACACCGTCATCATCATCATCATCATCATTATTCTCATTATTTTTAAAGTGACCTTAACTCTGTCATGGAAAACTACTCGTTTTCACACATGGGCTTGTGTGTCAACAGGATCCTAAAAATTGACCTTTTCTGTAGCAGTATTTCCAAAAGAAGTAGATGATCCCCCAAGGATTTGTCTGTTAGCTGTTTATGTAATAGCAAAAAGCAATGAATGGTTCTCCACCGTTTGTGAGTTACAATAAAAGTTGTGAACTGTCTTTAAAAGATATTGCATATATACATATAAAATTCGGTAAATGATCTCTAGGTTCACAGACCCCACAGACCCCATTCATTCATTCAACAGCCATTTGAATGCCTGCTCTCAGAATGTGCCAAGTCCTGTGCTAGCCTCCAAGAATACAGAACTGAACAAGACAATAAAGCTTGCTACTGTCTTGGTCTTCACATTCTAGAACCGATATCCTAGAGCTTAAGAACTCTGCCCTTTAGTGTACCTTCATTCACAGTGTGCCTTTAGCTTACTGGGTAGATTGAAGTGAAAATATAAAATCCTTTTTTTTTTTTTACAAAATAGATATTGTGTGGACCACTCACATCCACATACAAAATAAAGTTGCTGCATTTCTGTAAAGAATAGAAACTATAGGCTGGGCGTGGTGGTTCACACCTGTAATCCCAGCACTTTGGGAGGCCGAGATGAGCGGATCACGAGGTCAGGAGATCAAAACCATCTTGGCCACCATAGTGAAACCCCGTATCTACTAAAAATACAAAAATTAGCTGAGCATGGTGTCGTGGGCCTGTAGTCCCACCTACTCTGGAGGCTGAGGCAGGAGAATTGCTTGAACCTGGGAGGCAGAGGTTGCAGTGAGCCAAGGCCACGCCATTACATTCCAGCCTGGCGATAGAGCGAGACTCCATCTCAAAAAAAATAAAAATACAAAATAATAGAAACTATAAAAATACCAGAATTAGCTAGACAGCCTGTATGTTAAGGTAGTTAAACCTGGGCAGGACCTAAACCCCACAGCAACAAAAGCAGGACCCACAAAAAACAAACCCAGTTGGTAAATTTACTCAACGAAACCTCTTTTACAAAACTTGGAACTGCCCACTCATTTGTGCATCAATTACACAATTAATATTTAAGTAATATTGACATCCCAGCCACATGTGCTCAGTGCTTTTAATTTACTCATCTCATTTACCATTAGAATAACTCTCTGAGATAGGTATTATTTTCTCCATTTTTTAAACTGAGGGACTGAAGAGAAGTTAAGTGGCTTGACCAATTCGTTAATGATAGGGCAACCATTTGAATCAAGTTCCTGACCTGAGTTTTTTGCGAGATACCTGCTTCCTTTTGGAGGCTGGGGAGAGAGAAGAGGTATTTCTTAAATGATAATCTTACCTCATTTCCTAAGCAAATTATACGAAATACACTGTTGAAAGGAACACTATCTCCATAATTGAATGTAGTAGTACTTTTAGAATAGAAGCTTTCATGTTCAGGCAGCACATGTGGACAATAAGATGCCCATTAAAGTTCTAGTCCCTTTTTCATTTTATTTGCTTCATTCCATTGCGTAGTTAATGTAATAACTTGGAAAGAGTTTGCATTTTCTTTTCTCCACAGCTAGGCCATGTCTGGTCCAACTGATGAGACTGCAGGAGACTTGCCTGTGAAAGACATAGGTCTAAACCTCTTTGGAATGGGAGGGTTACAAGGTATGGCCAGCTGTTATTTATTACAGTTATGAACTTTGATCACTGACTTCTTTACTTTTAATTTAAAGTATTTCTGATACTCACAAACCAAATCATTTAAGTAACTATATAGTCCTTGATTGGACTAAACAAAAAGATGGAGGGTTTAGAACACATATGGCATTTTACTACATGCATCCATTATCAACAGCTCATAGAAAATGTACAGTCTCCCCTCTGTTCTGATAAAGAATTAACATAAATCATCTTTTTAAAATTCCTCACATCCGTAGAAACTACATAGAGAGTATCAAGCCTCCAAACTGAATTGCCTGGTTTAAATTACATTCAGTATTAAAACATTTCTTTATGATTAAATTTTATATGGGAGGAAAGGCCATATTTTAAACGTTCTGCCTTTTAAGTAGAATATCTCACATGATAGTGACTTTTGTATCAAATTAATATGGATTAAAAGTTTTCTTTATTCTTTTGTCACTAAGTTGCTGTAGAGCTAAAAAGCACTTTCAAATTGAGAAAGAAAAACACTACTTTAAAGAACAATTTAGAATAAAGAACTGTGTTTATCTTTGTGTGTAGAGTGTATCAGCTATGTTGGCATGCATGTATCAATTATCAACAACTCTTAGAAGATGTAAAATTCCCCTCTATCCTGAATAGGCTAGGGATTTAAGATACATTCCACTCAGGAATCTACATATACTTTTTAGTCAGACCGGTATAAATGGCCACTTGTGAAAACTTCAGAAAAGTGGTCAGAGTATTGTTTATTTAAAAAAATAAAGTTTGGCTACACAGATTTTTTTTTTTTTTTTGAGATGGAGTCTGGCTGTGTTGCCCAGGCTGGAGTGCAGTGGCACAGTCTCCACTCACTGCAACCTCCGCCTCCTGGGTTTAAGCAATTCTCCTGCCTAAGCTCCATCTATAGCTGGGTCTACAGGTGTGTGCCACCAAGCCTGGCAAATTTTTGGCTACACAGATTTTATTGTTAAAAGTAAAAACTGTGTCTCAGCTTTGCTTTAGAGAACATTCAGGGAGCATCAAGTATTAAAATATAAATAAGTTTTAGGTGTACAAAACAATTTATTGGGTTTTGATATTGTATAATTTCAATTCTTGTCTTCAGTAAACTATCACAGGACCTTAGCCTCTATCAGTTTTTTTTTTGTTTGTTTCTATTGGAGAATTGTTGAAAATTGACCTACTTCACAATGGTATGGAAAATACCAAATTTAAACATCTGCAAACAGATACATACACATGCTAAAGAATATAAGCATTCTTAAAAATTATGTCAGGTAGTATATAGAGAAATTAATTGTGAAACTTTTAAATGATAATTTTTAAATTTCAGGGGTGTTTTCTCTTTGGTCTTACAACTTTTATAGTTTGTTTTCTAAAATACCCATAGCTTAGAAAAATGCCTTAATCATATTGTGTTTACCAAATTACTCTTACTCTTGCCTTTGTAAAATAAATTAAAAAATAAATAACTTTCAGATACTCTTTTAGTTGTCACAGCATTCAGCATGTACGTTCAAAAGTCTTTATTGAATCAGAATTCCATCTTATAGTCTTGGGTATTTTTGTTGTTTGTCTGTTTGTTTGTTTTGAGACGGAGTCTTGCCCTATCACCCAGGCTGGAGTGCAATGGCACGATCTCGGCTCACTGCAACCTCCGCCTCCCGGGTTCAAGCAATTCTCCTGCCTCAGCCTCCCAAGTATCTGGGATAACAGGCGTGTACCACCACGCCCAGCTAATTTTTTGTGTCTTTAGTAGAGATGAGGTTTCACCGTGTTGGCCAGGCTGTGACTCCTGACCTCTTTATCCGCCCGCCTCAGCCTCCCATAGTGCTGGGAGTACAGGCCTGAGCCACTGCAGCTGCCCTTACATTCTTTAAGAATGCCTACTTGAATACATTTTTGAATGAAAATTATTGTTCTAAATTCCTAATACTATATGTAATGTATTAATAGCAAATATTTTTATTCTCACCTTAAATAATTGATGTAAACAACACTATAACATTTTCTAAAGCAATCTTAATTGTAGGTCACAAAGGAAAAAAATCTAAGATGAGTGCATCAGAGATTGTATTAATATCAAGAGTTTTTAGAGACTATTTTAAGTAACCCCACAATTAATTATCTTGGCATTTTTGCAGAAATTTCAACAACACGGACAACAATGAAGTCTCGCCAGGCAGTGTCACGTGTCAGTCGTGAAGAACTGGAAGACAGATTTTTGCGTTTGCATGATGAGAACATTTTACTTAAACAGCATGCCCGCAAGCAGGAGGATAAAATTAAAAGGTTACGATAAAAAGCTTTTAGCTTCTCTTCTTGACTCAGTAAAACTTGGAGGGTATGGTATTTTATAAACTTAATTGAAAACCCCACCTTGAATCTTGTTTGGAATAAAGCAGGATGTAAATAAATACAATTTTTAAAAATGGAAAATCTTGCAAACTAGAATAGTAAACGAAAAAGATTGTAAGTGTTTATTATGTCTGAATTTACCATTTAAAAGAGAAAAGCTAATAGCTAAAAGTAACAGGAGTATATCATATCTATAAATAACTTGGTTTAATATTTATAGTTTAATAAGCAAATGGCCAAAGCATTTGTTTTTTAAATGTCTTGATTTTAAAATGAAAGTTTTAAAAAGTAACTAACTATTCTAATTTGTTAGAAGGCATGTTCCCTTAAGATTTGGGGTTTACTAATGAAAACATCGCTTCAGTTTCTGGAACATATTTAACTTTGCTTGGGTTAGACTAGATTCTATATTGATTTCAAAGAATCTCTACTGTTTCTGAAGAAACAGTATTGTCACTTTTGATTTGTGTGTAAAAAATTTTGGCAAAAATGATTTCCTAAGGGTAGATACTCTTTCATTCTTTTTTATTCAGAAATGCTGTGCCTGTCTTCTGAAGGGACAGCATTAAAAACGAAGTATGTTCAGATGTATAACCATGGGCAGGTCTGTATTTATATTTATGTTCCAGGTTCAAAGAAAAGGTGAGACGGCCATTGAAGAATGAAAATAGGATTTTTCTGCTTAGAATCTATCCTAGGGAGGTGGTTCCAGTTCAGCTTCTGCTCTGTGGACTTTGGCAACCCACTGACCTGCTATGTGCAGACCATTTACTTTGAGTTGGGTTTTAAGTCATGATGATGGCTGTTTTCAAGACTTGTGACTGACTTGCCTGATTCCTATTCTGACCAATATCTCACACACACATCAGCCAATCAGAATGAGGCATGTAGTCTACTATGACCACCTAACAGTTTTTTTCTTTATAAGCCTCCATGACCTCGTTAGTAATTTGTCATAGCCAGAAAATAAACACCAATAATGAGCCATGTAGTTTAATGGGAAGAGGACTGAGCAAGGAATCAAGTGGCATTCTTTTATCTGTCTGCCACTAGCTTATGATATGGTCAAGCCATTTAACCTCCTGGAAGTTTATTTTACTTAACTGTGAGAGTAATGATCCAATGAACAGTATGACCCAAAAGCTCTGAATTCCTCTCAATCTCATACCACTAACCGTGACCTAGATACATGGGTAGAACTGTCTTTAAATTTATCCTTAAGAAGTTAAATAGGCCGGGCGTGGTGGCTCATGTTGGTAATCCCAGCACTTTGGGAGGCCCAGGCAGGCAGATCACCTGAGGTCAGGAGTTCAAGACCAGCCTGGCTAACATGGTGAAACCCCGTTTCTACTAAAAATACAAAAAGTTAGCTGGGCATGGTTGCACACTAAGTGAGCCGAGATTGTACCATTGCACTACAGCTTGGGCAACAAGAGCAAAACTGTATCTAAAAAAAAAAGAAAAGAAAAAAAAAAAGAAGTAAATAGTATTATTTTCTATAAATGTAGATTTCATAGGCTACCTTTTTTAAAATTTTATTTATTTATTTATTTATTAAGAGGGAGTTTCACTCTGTCACCCAGGCTAGAGTACAGTGGCTGGATCTTGGCTCACTGCAAACTCCACCTCCTGGGTTCAAGCAACTCTCCTGCCTCAGCCTCTTGAATAGCTGGGATCATAGGCGCCCACCACCATACCTGGCTAACTTTTATATTTTAGTAGAAACAGGGTTTCACCATGTTTGCCAGGCTGGTCTCGAACGAACTCCTGACTTCAGGTGATTTGCCCACCTTGGCCTCCCAAAATGCTGGGATTATAGGCGTGAGCCACCACGTCTAGCCAAAACTACCTTTTGAAGTAAGCACTCAGACTTTGCCAGATCACTTATGACTCATTCATGTGATAAAATAATCAAATCCAACAAATGGAATGTATGGCTATTACTAGACGAACAGATGCAATCATGTTTCTTGACAAAGTTTATTTGAACATCATTTGAAAAATTTAAAGGTACTCTATTGATGTGCTTTTCCTGCCTTAAAAATTAGGGTCATTATTTTCCTCTAGTCATTAACTGCCTTTTTATATTAAATCTGTGTCTTTCTTTTGAATGTAATCTATATCTCTGTGTGAAAGTCTCTCCGTAACAGATAATTCAGATATTTAAGTTGACATCTCATTCTTATGGTGACCCTATTTTTATGCATAGGCCATTGGATGGGGCTTAGGACCCTAAACTCATTAAAGGACCAGGTAGAGAATATGGCCTTGTTGAACTGTGATACCTGGCCAAATTTCCCAGCGATATATCATTCTCGGAATTAGGTGAAAAAGGAACTAATCCATTGATTATTTTACTAGAGTGTTTGCGGTACTCTTGGATCTTGGTTTTTATTATCCTGTATCCTTTATAAAGCATGCTTAATGGATGTGCCTCAAGGGAAGGAGAAAACAATCTTAACTGATTATATTATGCATAGCTCTCCCTGATGCCACATGCTGTAGGCCGAGTAGCCAGAAGTGTAGATAGACATGTATTACTACCGCATTTACAGCGGACTCTGCTTAGGGCAGAAAAAAGGTTGTGCTATGACATCCCAAAGCTATTAAGGATTTTTCTATTTCACTTTTGTTCCCTTAAGTAAAAGCTTCTGTCCATAACCATGCTAAAATAAAGCAAACCCCATTTAAAGAAAAATGAAGTGTGTTTTTATTTTCAATCTCCTGTCTGGGTCTTTATAAAAATAGATTCACTATAAACTAGAATCAGCTATTGAAGATGTGCGACCAATTTTGTAAAGTCTTGAACTTGTGTCTCTCATCAAAGCCACCTTTTCTTTCTTGTCCTGCCAAGATTTTTCCATTCACTGTCAGGCATGTTTTCCGTACGTGTATATTACATCACCTCCATGTGCCCTTTCTGTCTTTTGTTCTGTCTAACCAGTTTTTATCAAAACTTAGAAGAATCAAAGATATAAACTCCTGAGATGTCAAAAGCACAATTTGTGTCTAAATTTAAGGATAGCATTAAAACGACACTTTTGCATCTAATTATTTTTTACCATTGAACACAAGTGTTTCTTGAGCACTAAGCAACATTTATTGGTGCATTTTGGTTTCTTTTGAATTTTTCATTGGGCTTTATATGTGTGCATTTATGCATTCTAACATTTTTATATTTATAGTGTGTCTTAATCCTAGAGAAACTGAAAACAATATATTACCTAAATGCTGCACAGTCTTAACACACTTCTCAAAAGTTTTAACTTACTGTGGATTGCAGATATAACCCACCACATCCACAATCTGTAACTACATTTAAGTGCATACAGCATTCCTATATAAGGTCATGCGTTAAAAATTGCATTTCAGGAACATATGGAGTAAATATGTGTCCTCTCTTTACTAACCTTAAATGATAAGCCTTAGGAAACTGTTATTTGTCAGTGCTATAAAGCAGATTGTTGCCCAGTGGTTTCAATTATCATCAAAGGATTCTTCACAGGCAGTAATAGTTACATCAAAACCTGAAATTTATTATTCAGGTTCTGCACTGAAGTCTTCACAGTGATTATGTTCCTTTCAACAGAATGCATTTTATGCTGACTTCTCACATTCCTTTTCATCTTTTTATTATTTCCCCAGAATGGCCACCAAGTTAATACGGCTAGTTAATGACAAGAAAAGATATGAGCGGGTTGGTGGCGGCCCCAAGCGGCTGGGACGAGATGTGGAAATGGAAGAAATGATTGAGCAGCTGCAAGAGAAAGTCCATGAGCTTGAAAGACAAAATGAAGCCCTCAAACACAGACTAATTTCAGCCAAACAGCAACTTCAAATCCAGGGTTACAGGCAAACTCCATACAATAATGTACAATCTCGCATTAACACTGGGCGTAGAAAAGCAAATGAAAATGCAGGCTTTCAGGAATGCCCCAGGAAAGGTAAAACAAAGCTTATATTAATTCTAAACCGAAGTCTTATGAGACTATTTAACGCGCAAAAAAAAACCCCACAAAGTTTTACTTCTATACTGTTGGTGCTCTTAAGTGTCTTTAGGAAGAGAAAAATAATTTTTTACTTTCTCTTTGATAGAATGGTATTGTCAGTGAAGATAATATAAGAATTATTAGATCAGTCTCCAGTGTGTTTAGTAAAAACATTCTACTAACCTTGATGTAAGAGACATGTATGAAATTAAGTAAATGAGTTGAATAGAGTTCTGGTTGGTGTGAAACACACTGTACACAGGTGGGTGGGGAAAACAGCTAGTTTGCTTACATATGACCACACTTACTGTACTGAATGATCACATTTAAGTTTTTCATCCAAAGACCTTTTCGAAAATTTGCAAAAGTGTTGAAATCTTTCTTGTTGTATGGCAGTAGCATGATAGTGGGATGTGCATATAACCAGGGGTTTAAAAAGTTGGGTACTTATTTCTCCACTTACTGGCCGGTGACCTTGGACAAGTCTCCTAATCGCTCTGACCCTGAGTTTTCTTTACATATAAAGTAAAAGGATTGAAACAAGTGACAGTAAAGGTTTCTTCCATTGCTAAAAATGATCATAGGCCAATCTCTTTCTTCACTTTAAAAATTAATAACCTAAAATGTACACAGGCTGCAAAATAATTCAGTTGTGTAGCCAAGACTCAATATAGAACATAAATATTTCTAATAAAAATTTTCAATTCTCTTCACCCAAAGAGAAGCTTTGTTATAATGGAACCACAAGTCAATAAATACCTTAAGTAACATTTTTAAGATTTCAACTATTAGGAAAGGAAATAAGGTTTTAGCTCTAATTGACTTTTGTTTGAAATATACCTTACATAAAGACCAAAGATTTTTAGGGATGTAAAGTATCATGTAAAACTTTAGTTTCAGTTCTTTGAGGAGGAAAAAAAAACCACTGCTAACCGAAAGGGAGAAAAATTTGTTGTAGTTTGCTCTCCAAGCCAAAATGTTAACACTATCTGTTCCCTAGATAAGAGTTCCTTTGAAGTCAATAAGGCCTCCACAAAGGCAGGAGGCAGCTGCAGGATGAAAGGGCTTGGCTACTCCTAGCTATGTGAGATTGGCAGTAGACTCTGAATACAACTAAAGTAGCATAATGAATTATAAATCAGAAAGTACATTCTGCCACTGATTAACTTTTTTATGTGGAAGAGAATACTGACCTCAGCGTCATTTTCCCCATCTATAAAATGGAGTGATAATAATCCAGCTTAGCTAAGACATCAGGAGATGGTAGCTCTCACAATAATATATTTTACCTTTAAAGTGGCTTATCCTCTCTGAGCCTTAGTTTTGTCATCTGGAACTGGAACTGAGCAAGATGATCTCTAAAGTCTGCAAGATCTTTTATACTAAATAAAAATAACGTTCAAGCTAGGCACAATGACATATCCCTAAAGTCATCAAGAAGCTGAAGTGGGAGGATCACTTGAGCCCAAGAGTCTGAGTCCAGCCCGGGCAGCATAGTGAGACACTGTCTCTAAAAATAAATAAGTCTGTAATGCCCAGATTTTACTTTAAATCTAAACTGAAGTCTTATTAGATTGTTGAACACAAAAAAACCCACAAAGTTTTATTTCTGTATTACTCATGCCTTTAAGTGTCTTTAGGAAGAGAAAAATAATTTTTGACTGTCTCTTTGATACAATCATAATATTGTCAATGTCAATTAAAATGGCAAGCTAATCTAGTGCTATTAATTGCTGTTCAGACAGGAGAGTTTGCTAGAAGTTTCTCTCTCTAGCGAAATTAAGAGCCACCGAGCAGCAGAGCTTTTAAAAACATGACTATATAGCTTAAATTTCTCCTTACATTTGTATTCTCTTAGTGATTCAGAGCTTCCTTACTGTTCAGGAGAGAGTTCAGGACATGGAAGTGACACAAAGCATGAAGTAGTGATGAATACTTTTCTTAATCAAAGTCTTTATAAGTAAACCTGAAGCATCCCTACCAAAACTGACACCTTTTTTTTTTTTCTTTTTTTTTTTCACTACTGTCCTTCAGGGATGTCCAGGAACAAAACTGACACCTTAACAGGCTCTTCGGGACTGCCTCTGAGGCTGAGACAGGCCAGACTTGTCAGGAAAATATCTCAGCCTGGGATGGCTGGCTAAGAACTCCAGAGCCCCTCTATGGCCACCAGCAGTCTTGACCATCAAGCTGCTGTACAAATGCTATTGTTTCCTATTTGTACCTTGTCAGGATAAAGGCTGGAAAGCACTGGCTAAATGTGTGATCAATGTAATATAGAAACTATACTTACTGTGAGGAACCAATGGAACAAATATTTTTGTACAGCAAAGGTTTTAAAATGTAACCATTGGTAGAGAGTAGAATGATAGTTATTAGAGGCTGGGAAGAGTGTGGGGCGCTGGTGAGGATGAAAAGACGTTGGTTAATGGGCACATACATAGAATAAGTAAGAATAAGGTATAGTATTTTATAGTACAACAACAGCATACTGAGTATTTCAAAATAATCAGAAGAGATTTAAAATATTCCCAACACAAACGATAAATGATCAAGTGATGGATATCCTAAATGCCCTGATTTGATCATTACACATTGTACGCATATATCAAAATACCACGTGTACCCCACCGATATGTACAATATTATGTATCAGTCTTTAAAAGGTAAACTATACATACACACTCACACACACACACACACACACACAGAGCCATTGGCAAATCACTATTAGACTAAGTTTTAAGACATGTTTTGAGTATTTTTTAATTTCCACTAGTAATGAATTTTTTCATGATGTATGTAGGAAAAGCATAAGAATTAGCATTACTGCCAAAATAATATGATTGGCAAATTCTAACACAGTAAACTATTTTGATGTTTTAGAGCCTTTTCTATTCTTCAGGATTACAGCAATAGATATTGACTAGTTTAGAAACAGCAAGTAATAGTTCCATTATTCTAATTAAAATTCTTTTTTTCTTTTTTTAAAATTTTCTCTTTACTGAGAATATGCAGAGCAATTAAATCTCACTTTTAAAAAGTTAACTTTTCTAAAGAGAATAAATTTGTTTTGTTCTCCATTTAAAAATCTTAATCATCTGTCATGCTTTATCTAACTTAAACTCTAATATTTAGTTATTCTATATAAATGTAAAATAACTCACATAATTAAGAATATGGCTTATTTGTAACAATGGGACTTTCTTTGTAAAATCATACATAATTATTTCTATAAGAAAAGTTATATTTTAAGTGCAGCAGGGCAATGTTTTATTTAAAGAAATTCTATTGATGATCCATTCTCAAAGTACCTTTTTGTAAATAGGGATTTTCTTATTGGGTTGGAATAAATCAAAATACAGAAAACATTTTTACTTAAACACTTAAGGGCAAGGAATATGAATGAGTAATCTAAAAATTAAAAAAAAAAACCTTTATCACAAACACTGGGGGAAAGAATCAAGTTTTTATGACCTATTTTCATTCATACTTTAGTTGACATTGTAAAAACTTGAAGACTCTGATTTTTTCAGAAATTACTACAGAAGTCTAAATCTTAAGTTGAATAAAATTATTTCTAGGTAATTTGATTTCTACAGTAGATTTGTAAAATGAGCAATACTTGCTGCTGTGTTTTATTTAATGCCTACTGGTGGCTGAGATCACATATTCCCTTTGGCAGTGTATTTCTAATTCTGTGTACTGTAGAATACATACCTCTTAATAATACGAGATTTTATTATATTATAAAATATCCTTATAGCAAATCAAAGATCCATCTTTTCTAACTTCACTTCTATAATCATACTTTATTGCTTTCTTTTTAGGTATAAAATTCCAAGATGCAGATGTAGCTGAAACTCCACATCCTATGTTTACAAAATGTGGCAACAGTTTACTTGAAGAAGCCAGAGGAGAAATAAGAAATTTGTATGTGTTCTTTTTTGTGGTCATTTGAGAACTTTGGTTATTGATCGTGTCTTTTTTTTTTTATCCTTCCCTTTCCTTGATTTTAAACCAAACTGAGTTGTATGTAAACAATTTGCTACAATAAAATACAGCTATATTCTGTAGGGTAACAACAGATATTATATAACATGTTTTCAGGAAAATGAACAGCTTAATCCAGCTGAATCAATGGAAGGATTTATAGAATAGTCTTCTTTATTATAATTTTACCCTCAAAGGAATGGCATAAAGTCCAGTCAGTTAGAATGGTGTAAGATTTAGGGCAACATTTTTATTCCCAGAAAATCACAAGTAATTTTTTTAGATCCTGAATCAATTAACCCTTTTCCTACTTAAAAAGAATTGGGGAGTGGCATAAAAGTTTGGAGTTATCAGATACATATGGATTTCAGATTTTGTTTCCCTATGATTCTATGGTACTGCATTCTTCATCATATTATGGTTTCAAAAAGTGACTTCTGCTACATTTAGCTTACTTTTCTAGTTTATCAAAGCCTCATGATTTCAGTGTCTCTGAGTCACACAAATGAAGGTAAGGTTCCACTTTTAACTATAAGCCTTCACCTGGATCATCAACAAGTAACAATACTTAATGAGAAAAGAAAACATGGCCCACAGTATCATACTTAAAATAGTTGCTTAGGAATAATGTGGTCTTAAAATGTTTTCTTTTGAATATTTTAAATAGTAGTTACAGTAATGATTAGCCTGCAGGAGAATAAAAGACTAAACATAATTTTGTTACTTCATAATCACCTGAAAAGCCAAGGTTTATACCAGGTCCTGAGGCTCATTATAGTATGATGCTGTCATATATGATGCTGTATGATATATGATACAGTATGCTGTATACGTTACAGTATGATGCTGTCGGACATGATAGCTTTAAATGCATGCCAGAGACCACTAAGTTATGTTTGGCAAATTTCCTGCCACATCTCTCTGAAGTGTTAATTTGGGTGTTATAAGCAGATGTGCATATATGAAAGAACAAAGGCATATATATATATAAATAATCTGAAGACCAGATTGTGAAGTACATAGTAGGTGTACTCCGCAATAAATACTTACTTAATTGAATCAAACCAAAGTCCAACTCGTTGCATGGGACATTAACTTGTAAAAAGCAGTATCTTGCATTGTTCCATATGTATTTCCAAATCATCACATTTAATCTGCTACTATTTCACTGTGTGAAGAGGCACTTAGGCTAAATTTTTTAACTTCTGCTTGCTCCTTTTCATGAAGAACTTTCTTTGCACTGATCTTAAGTACTACAAAATTTTCCTCAAACTGCAAATTCTTACAAAGGCTCTTTATTTCAGAGAAAATGTTATTCAGTCACAAAGAGGCCAGATAGAAGAGTTAGAGCACTTGGCTGAGATCCTGAAAACTCAGTTGAGGAGAAAAGAAAATGAAATTGAATTATCTCTTCTTCAACTTCGAGAACAGCAAGCTACAGATCAAAGGTATGTTAAAACAGAAATATCACTTTGATAAGGTCAAAATTAGTTTAAAATACTTTATCATGTGCCATAAAAGGATGAGGTTATCTAGTCTCTTTTAAAATCATGTTTTTACTTAACATTCTTCATATAAGCCTACGCTCGACCCACTAACTTCTGTCAATAACTCTACTCTAAGGACAGTTTTCCCTAATCTGCTCTGCTTTTAAGCAGCTTCTGATGGGTGGAAATCACCCTCATCTTGTTTTCTCTGTTCATTTACCCCATTTGCCAAGATTGCTGGAAGTTCTGATACTATTTGATTATAACTACTGAGAGAAGTATGGGTGACAAGAACTCAGCTGTTGGCATACCTTGTACGTAAGTCCAGCATCACTTTTTTAAATCTTAAAAGATAATAAATTCCATAATATGGTACCAGTTTGTAATCCTAAAAAGATCCCTAATATTCCAAGTTTGGATTGCAGTCTGTTGGCTGTAATAAGATTACAGTGGGACCTACAGGTAGCCTCCTTGCTGCCTTTTCATCTATGACATTTAAAAAAAAAAATTTTTTTTTAATTTCCAACCTTTAAGTTGAGGGGTGCATGTGCAGGATATGCAGATGTAGTGGAAACTCGGCTACCATGGTAGTTTGCTACACAGATAATCCCATCACCCAGATATTAAGCCCAGTTTCCACTAGCTATTCTTTCTGATGCTCTCCCTCCTCCCACTCCTCACCCTCCGACAGGCCCCAGTGTGTATTGTTCTCCCAACCTGTGTGTCCGTGTGTTTTCATCATTTAGCTCTCACTTATAAGTGAGAACATGCAGTGTTTGATTTTCTGTTTCTGCATTAGTTTGTGAAGGATAATAGCCCACTAGCTCCATCCATGTCCCTGCAAAGGCCATGATCTCCTTCCCTTTTAATGGCTGCATGGTATTCCATGGTGTGTGTGTACCACATTTTCTTTATCTAGCCTATCATTAATGGGCATTTAGGTTGATTGAAATTGGTGGGCATTTAGGTGGATTGCAATTAGGTTGACTGCCACGAACATACGTGTGCATGTGCCCTTATACTAGAACGATTTATATTCCTCTGGGTATATACCCAGTAATGGGATTGCTGGGTTGAATGGTATTTCTACCTATGGGTCTTTGAGGAATCGCCACACAGTCTTGCACCATGGTTGAACTAAATTACACTCCCACCAATACTGTAAAAACATTCCTTTTTCTCCATACCCTTACCAGCATCTGTTGTTTTTTGACCAGCCATTCTGACTGGTATGAGATGGTATCTCAGGGGTTTGACTTGCATTTCTCTAATGATCAGTGATGTTGAGCTTTATATTTGTTGGCCACATGTATGTCTTCTTTTGAGAAGTGTCTGTTCATGTCCTTTGCCCACTTTTTAATGGGATTGTTTGTGTTTTTTCTTGTAAATTTAAGTTGCTTATAGATGCTGGATATTAGACCTTTGTCAGATGGATAGATTGCAAAAATTTTCTCCCATTGTGTAGGTTGTCTGTTTACTCTGTTGATAGTTTCTTTTGCTGTGCAAAAGCTCTTTAGTTTAATTAGATCCCATTTGTCAATTCTTGCTTTTGTTGCAGTTGCTTTTGGCATCTTCGTTGTGAAATCTTTGCCTATACCCATATCCTGAATGATATCTTTGCCTAGGTTTTCTTCTAAGGTTTTTATAGTTTCAAGTGTTACATTTAAGTCCTTAAATCCATCCTGAGTTAATTTTTGTATAAGATGTAAGAAAGGGGTCCATTATCAATTTTCTGCATGTGGCTAGCCAGTTCTCCCAGCACCATTTATTAAATAGGGATCCCTTTCCCATTGCTTATTTTTGTCATCTCTGACATTTCATAATGTATAATATTTTCTTTCCCATCCTCCTTTGCCATTTTTTTGGTTCCTAGTACCTGTTCATCCATTTTCTGCTTTGACATTGTGCTTTCAACAAGACTATCTTTTTAACATAGTCCTTCTTGAATTATTTTTCCCTTTATAGCTTTTCTTTTCATTTTCTTTTTTTGAACTAAGCATACCCAAAAGTACAGAAAGTAATGTATTGAACCCTCACATACCTATCACTCAGCTTTAACAACTATCAACATCTTACCATTCTTGTTTCATCTGTCCACTCACATTTATTTTCCTAATTATCCCCAGCCAGATATCACATCACCTCACCCACAAATACTTCAACCTGTATTTCTGTCTGAAAAGGAATTTTTTAAAACATAACTACCATACCATTATCACACCTAACAAAAATCACAGTAGTTCTTTGATAGGGTCTAATAACTAGTTTATTTTCAAACTTCTGTGAAGATGTCTTTCTACTGTTCATTTTAATTGGAATTCAAATAAGGTCTACGTATAGCATTTGGCTACTATGTCTCTTTTATTTCCCTGGATTTTTTTTTTAAAACGAGACCTAGTTGCTGTACTTATTTTTCTCCTCCTCAACAACTTTTATAACATACTTGTATGGCTAGGTTCTCATTAGAAAAATCAAGTAAGATTTTCTAGCCTTTCATTTCAGATTCAGAGTTTATTCGTCTTTTAACAAACTAATCTTATGTGGTAATATATAAAGACGCTAAGAAAAGATGCTTAATATCAGACTTGTTTTTTAAAAAGTGGGCTAAAAATATATAAAAAGCTTTATATTTTACAGATCTATCAGATTAGTGTTACCTTTAAAAATTCTATTCCTAAATATGTGTAAAATTAAATTATACAAGAAATCCTATATGTCTAGTGACATTATACACCCTTCTAATTGCAAGGCAAAAGAAATAAGAATATTTTTGAGAATCATATTTGATAATTAGGGGATGTAATTTGAACCTTAGCTAAAGGGTAAGCTCGAATACCTATAAGTTACTCATATTTCTATAGGAAGAAGAAATTATTTAGACTTGGCCTACTTTAAAAAACAAGAAGTAATTCCTTGTGAGAAACAGTGCTAAAGGACCAGACCTCAACACTGAATGTGGTGATCTTAGTAAATGCCAACAGCTATGTTTGAGATATTGTCTGAATATAAAAGTTCACATAGGCCAAGTCCAAGCTTAGGGCAGTCCCTGTATCATCTTTACTCAACCACTGAGTACAAGGTTATCAAGAATTGTTTGTTACATTTCTCAGGTTCCTATAGAGTAAGGTGGACACTGCGTTGGCCATTCCCTTTTCCAAAGGGATGTGATCATTTAGGAGCTAGTGTTAACAGAAAGGGAAATCCAGAAGTCCTTCAATTCTAAAACTAAAACAGCAGAAGAAATAGAGTGATAGACAAGGATACATACTTTCCTACTATAAATATTACCAACAAGAGACACCAACATATATACATAGAGGAAATAAGTCCCTCCTTAGGTGGCTATTTCATTTACTCTGTAGCAGTCTATTTTTGTCATATCAATAATTAAAAGCAGAGACAAATGAGTAGTACAGGCAACGGAACTTTTATTGCAGAGACCAGAGAAATAAATCAGTGTGTACCTCCCTCACTGTTTTTATAAAATGGAAAATTTACATGCTATTTGCTTAGAAGGAAAGATACCTATAGTCAATTGCATATTGTTTCTTGAAATATAGTTGTTGAAACTGAGGAAATAACTTAAAATAAGGCTCTTCAATACCTTTTTTAAATATTTACACAGAGCTCACAATTTTATATATAACAGCAGGTTTTTTTAGCCTAATGGAAAACTGTTGAAAAAGATGTTAGGGAGAATATAAAACTCAGTGTAGTTTACTGTAGAGAAAAATCGCAAAATGGGAAACATACTTAAACTTTTCTTTCACGGATACATTATTTCAGATTTGAAATTCTAGAAGTCTGATCTGGATGTTGGACTCCTTGTTCTCAAACATGAACCTAACGTAGTTGTAATCTTCAGAGTGGCAGTGCTTGATATTTATGGCAGAGAGCCTTTTCATAGACTATTACAGAAACTCTTGATAGTATGTGTTTAATAGACCAGTTGGGTTTGGCATCAGCTTGACATCAACTTTTGGTTATCCAAAGCCCCTAATTGCTTTGAAGTATAAGCCCAGTGCTGCTCTTTTTTATGAAAATCATGTTTTTTCCTGTTGTTGTGGTCTATTTTGGAAGACTGAGTTGTGATTTTTGCATATGTTCTACATAATGCCTCATTAGCAAAAAATCTTGTATCATTTACAAGTAGCCTGAATGTCTGTGTTGTTTTGAGGAAAAATCCATATTAAATTTAAACAATATAAAAATGCACATTTTCTGCTTATTAAAAAGGCCATCTTAAATTAAATTCAAAGCAGTAACCAGTGAACACATGTACATGAACATTAAAATCAGAATGATTTTACCATTTATTGACCTTTTTTAACTCCAAAAATATTTATACTCTTACAAATGTGTAACTAGTTTGTACTGTTTTTTTTTTTAAATAAATGTTAGGGTGTTTACCTTCTTAATTAGAAATCATGTAACTTCCATAATGTCCCAGTGGAGGAAATTTAACCCATAAGTATTTCAGACACTCTGACTTGCCTTCTTCCCTTTGGCGGACAGCCGACTGTCAAATCTCACAACAGAGAGGCCTTTTGCGCCATGCATTACAAGAAACAGCTTAGCTTTAAGGGCTCATTGTTTCCCCTCTGCACAGATACAAGATTACTTTCTAGCATTCTAAGTTATTGCTAACTTTTCATTTTGAAGAATTGAAAACCTACAGAAAGTGGGAAGAATAGTTGAGTGAGCACTCACATAATCTTTCACTCCTTAGCATATTTTTTGGATGGTACAACAAACCTATTTTTGTACTCGGCATGCTGTTGCTTAAGCCTTTTCTCACTCAGTCTCTTTTCCTCTCTCAACATCTCTCATCTTCTCTTCCCTCCTATTTCTCCTTCTCCCTCTCTCTTTCTTCTCTTTGTTCATTCCTCACTTCCTTTCTCTTCACCTCTCTCCCTGACTCCCATTAGGTGCATATATTACCTCACCCTCTGTACAGTTAA